TTTTTTCAGGTTACTGGAGTTTTCAAGTATCTACTGAAAACAAGGTGTCTTGAATAGGGTTTCCATTTGGGCGGGTGGAAAAAAGAGCCACCCGCCACCCGCCAGGGGGCTACCACCCACGGCCCCCCGCGGCCCCCCGCGATTATTTGCGTGTGAATTTTTATTTAATTTTTAATGATAATCACGTATTTTCCAAGAAAAAAGTTTCTGAAATCAAAAAACAGCGAAAAAGATAAAATTTTCTTCACGTAAATAATCGCGGGGGGCCAACGGGGGCCGCCGGGGGTGAGCCCCCCGGGCGGGTGCGGGCGGGTGGATCTCCCCCAAATGGAAACCCTAGTCTTGAAAACATGTTATGAACCTAGATCATGTCCTTAAACTGTAACTTTTGATTTTTCGTCATTTGGAATTTTGTAAATTTTTGGATTACGGTAGTTTTTCAATATGAGAATCACTGTAGTTTTTGAGGCTCCACTGATTGTGAAGAAGGAGTTCTCTTTGAGGGACCGGTGTCAAGAAAACAAATTAGAAAACGACATGTTTAGGGATATCAAAAATTAAAGGAAATTTGATCAAAAATTAAAAGAAATTTCTTTCTGTGGAGTTTCTAATTTTTTTGAAATTTGAGGATTACGGTGGTTTTATTTTGGAGAATATGAATTATTGTAGTTTATCTGTAACTTGTACTTATACTGAAATTGGAAACTGTTCTCCTATATTTCCTTTTTTTTTAATACACCTACATAACGCAAATACTCACTTGCAATACTCAATTCTAGCAAATACTCAATTCTAGCAAAAGAGGCTCTAGCAATAGCAAAAGAATTGGCAGGCACGCCACATTTACTACTCCCCTTTGGGCCCACTTATAACCAATATAAATAATATTTCTTGAACATTACCCTTTTTACTCAGGTAATTCTGGGGAGAGGTTTGGGGCCTAATCGGAGCTGATGTGGGAGTTACCCGTGAAGTTTGGGAGTTACCCAATCAAAGTATTATTATCGCACCGGATCTTATAATAACTGAACAGTGTCAGATCTTGATCTTTCTACGCAGGTGTTTTCTTTTGCAGGACCTTCCTTACCTCTTTATAATTAGCTGTTTCCGCAGCTGTTCCACCCTCCCATTATATTGCACGCTTTCCTCTCCGCACCTTGATTTTTCAGATTTTATCTGTTGATTTACGCTACTGGTACCGTATTGTAATTACAAGAAGAGTTTGCGCAACTCCAGTTACAACCCTTTTATGATTCTGACGCCACATTTTTATGTTGCTTATCTTGAAATAAAAAAGTAGCAAACGAGGAATATGGGTAATCCATGAGGAGATGTGTTACGATTTATGTGTCCAAGGGTAAAGGAAGACAAAGGAGGTCATTGGAGCCTAATTATTAAAAGTATGGTCTAATAGTTAAAATATCGAAACAATGAGATACATATTGTAATGTAATAGATTGTGATAATGGTGTTGATGTTGTCTGAAAAGTTATTTAAAAATCATAATTAGGTATCCTTAATCTCTTTCGTGTAATTAACTGTTTAATCAAATTTATACAGGTCATGACTCTTCATACTTATTCCTCTGTCAGCCTTAATTGTTGTTATCGCTCAGATTCCGATGACCTGTCAACTACCGGTTGTCTTCGAAACTTTTCTCCTGGACATCGATTTTATTCACGATACTGCACGATATCCCAACAAACACAAGAAGAAGAAAAACGAGAGGAAGAGAGTTCCTTCAAGTCTCATAAAAACTTTCCAGTTAACCTCGTGATTCCAGAAAAGAGCCATCTTGAGAACTGCAGAAACTTCTTATCAGTCCAATTCCTTTCACACTGTTTCATTTTTCTTTTACCTTCAATTTTTTTCCGTTTCTTTTTAAAATATGCTGAAACTAGAAAACGAAAATGTCCTTCTCCACCAGGAAATCAAAGTTTTGAAACTGAAATTATCAAGAGTCCAAAATAATCGAGATCAATTAGAAACTGAATTATCGATTATCAGAGCGGAGAACGACGAATTGAAGACAATTGTTTACACCTTGGAGAAACGGTTAACTCAAGAAACTCCAATTCTCTCTCCACAAATCGATACTCCTGTTTCCGAAAATTCATTTGAAAATGGGTCAATCAAATCTTATGGAAAGAAGGAGCAAGAACCAGAATTCTTCTCTGAAACTGGACCAGATTTTGATTCGAAATGGTACAAAAACATCTGCATTGCCAAATCCCATCCTAATTACATTGTTTTGAGAAACTGCAGTCAAGTTGAGGTAAATTTGTATTTTTTCATTTTTTCGATTATCGTAACTTTTCACAGCATCAATCCCTGGATGACTTTATTTTCTTCCGAACTGTCGATGGTAAGGAAACGGTATCTGGCTGTCCCTTCCCAGAAGGCGTCATTATTCCTCCGCAATCTGAATTTACGGTTTTCATGTTTCTATGTTTCTTTTTTTATATTTTTACTTTTCAGATCTATTCCGATCATCCCGGAGCAAGAAATGTCTATGGAAAAAGTTGCATTCTTCACAGATACAACACTTTCGGATCGGGAAAAGTCACTGAAAATATAATTTTGGATGAGACTGGAAAAGAAACTGCCAATTATATACTTTGTGTGTTTCAAGAATAATTGATCGATTGATTTTTGATTTCTCATACATATATTAAGAGTGAGCAAGGAATTTCAGTGACTGAGTATGACTCCGGTACAAAAAAATTTTGGTTGTGGAAGAGAAACGGCGGTGGAATTTGCCGAAGGTCATACAACGACAACTATCGTAACCTATAAAAAGCATACTTGTAATCCGGGCCTTTGCCGGGCCTCCGCGGGCCCTGCCATAATTTCTTTCTAGAATCTATATTTTCGAACCAACTAAATCAGATGTGATAGAGCTCCACGAGTACTACAAAACGGTAT